CCTTCCTCTCATACCTCTACACAGGATTCTTTAGATGGGTTTGGCTGCAATCCCAGCATTCACAACATGGAGGAAGGAGGGTCATGAGTCTGAGGCCAGGTTGGGCTATATAGTAAGTACCAAGCCAGCCAGGGCTACATATCAAGACCTAGCCTCAAAAAACAAAACAAAACCCCCCAACCCCCAAAGCCCTCATTTGCATATCCTGTCCCTCCCCCAGCCCCCACCCTTTGCTTGGTTCATTTTTCCTTTTAGGTGCTTTTTCCTGAATTTTAGCACCATTGAGCCATACTTTTGTGTGTAGTCTAGGAATGCCACATACCTCCCTGCCAATAGAGTCCTTATAGCTCATGGTGACTCCTGCATGTCCCCTTGGACCCCCCCCCCCAGCCAGTTTCCCACTTCCTTGCCTTCTGAACTTTGCATTGATCTTTCACAATAAAGACAATTCCCCAACTCCCAACTCTTTGGGTGCTTTACCACATTCTGCATCCTCAAGAAAAGGTATTTTGAGGTCAAGGACTTAACAACCAACCTTGGGCTAACTGTTTCTACCACTGTGTGAAGTGGGGTTCCAGGCTGGGTTTGGGGAGCTGATGCAGTGTGAAGCAGTTTTGATATACAAATCCTAGGTGATAGTAACATCTTCACAGATCAGTGCATCCACTAAGTTTTAAAAGAAAGCTGACATTTAAAATGGTCTTTGACTCACAGAGATTGTTGATGGCCTCACTTGCCTGACACCAATTTTAGGTCACTGCCTCTTCAACATTATATGAAAATCCCTGTTCCTTTGAGGATTGTGTCATTCAGTTTGTAAGCCATGGCACCAACTGTTCCCGTCCAGTGGGGGTAGGTGCCTTTAATATCATTATGAGAGGGAATCCAAGTCTCTGTTTGAAAATTCCTGAGTACCAATTATATTTGCCTGCAGTCTGCTGTGTCTACGGATCCCTTGTTCACACTAAGTCATCAGATACTGCAGTCTACAATCTGCTGTGAATGGTTTCCATGTTCACACTGAGACCATCAGACTCTACACTCTCCAGTCTTCTGAGTATACTGATCCCTGTTCACACTGAGACATCAGATATGAGTCCCATTTCCCCCCTTCGCTGCCCTTCTTAAGCCTTTTTTGTTATCTCACCCCTTTTTATAAATTTATTCTTCTCTCACATACTAATTACATCCTGACCACAGTTTCGCCTTCCTCCACTCCTCCCAGTATCTTCTTCCCACCACCCCTTTCCCTGAGGTCCACTTCTGCCCTGTTCCCTTCAGAAAAGGGCAGGTATCCTAGGAATGTCAACCAAACACAGCATAACAGATTCTAATAAGACTAGCACAAACCCTAAAATTAAGGCTGGAGAGGGCAACCCACTAGGAGGAAAAGGGTCCCAAAGCAGGCAAAAGAAACAGAGACAGTCCCCGCTCTCACTGTTAGGAGTCCCATAAGAACACCAACCCAGGCAACCATAACATGGATGCTGAGGACCTAGCTCAGGCTTTCTGGCTATTGGTTCAGTATCTGAGCCCCTATGAACCCTGCTTAGGTGATTCTGTAGGTTTTCTTGTGATGCCCTTGATCCCTCTGCCTCCTACAATCCTTCCTTCCCCTTTTCCTCAGTGTTCCTTAAGCTTTACCTAATATTTGGCTGACATTGGTTATGCTGTTTCCTAGAAAGCCTTGTCCCTAGCTCCATGACTTGGGCATTCTCAGAATCTCCAGATGTGGGTCCCTTACTCTCTAGGCCTTTGCTGGTTCTCTGAGGCACCTTCTGCAAGTACCTTAAGTGTTGGACTTCTAGAGGTTTATGTCAGCCTCACTTGTCCCCTAGTACATTTGATAGGACCTTAGAAACAGCTGTGGGTTTTCGATTCGATTGTGTTGGCCTACCTGTCTATTTTTGTGTCAATACTAGGCTGTTTTCAGAACTGTAGCTATGTAGTAGAGCTTAAAGTCAAGAGGGAGCCATTATTTGTTTGAAGAGAAAACTGAACCTAAAGAAAGGTCTAGAGACCTACAAGACTGCCACCAACTAACAATTTGAGCAACAGTGGAAAGGCTACCATAAATGTCCTTCCAGGGTAGTGAGATCAACCACTAACTTATCCACCATCATGGAGCCCTCATCTAGTACCTGTTGGAAACAGAAGCAAACACCCATAACTAAACACTGAGTCGAACTAGAATCCAGATGCAGAGGGAGAGGACAAGACCAGGTTGCAGAAACACATAGACAGCTGACCTGAACAAGGAGGAGCTAACAGGCCCCCAGACTGATAGCTGGGAATCCAGCATGGGACTGACTCAGGCCCCCTGAATATGGGTCTCAGCCAGAAGGACTGAGCAGTCTAAGGGACCTCAGACAGTGGAGCCAGGATGTATTCCTGGTTTACAAAAGGTCTTGAAGGCAAATCCCCCATGGAGGGATATTCCCTTAACCTAGAGACAGGAGAGAAGCCCTAGTCCCTACTTCAAATGACTTGACAGATTTACATGACTCCACCTGGATGGCATTGCCCTATATGTGGAATTGGGGTGGGGGGATGGGAGGGGAGGGTGGTCAGGGTGCATGTGAGGGGGGAGAGGGTAAGAGGGAGGGAGGGAGGAAGAGAGGGAGAGGGAACTGGGATCGACATGTTAAAAAAAAAAGAAAAGAAACAGCTGTGGGAAATTACAAATGATTCCCAGGAGAAATACGGACAGCTACATACACATAAAATTTAGGGTGGGAAGTGTCATATGCTCCCAGAAGCCATATTAAGAATATGAACAGATTGAGGGGCAGTGTGTGTTTGCCTGTTATCCTAGCATTTAGAAGGCAGAGGCAGGAGACTCCTATTTAGGCAAGTTTGAGTCTAGCTTGAGCTGCATAGCAAGTTTCAGGCTACCCAGGGTTACAAAGTGAAACCCTGTTTCAAAAACAGACAGACAGACAAATAAACAAACAAAACAAATAAACCTCCTGAGTGTATTTATCCCTAAGAGCCAGGCACGGTAGCATATGCCTGTAATCACAGCACTTGGGAAACAGAGGCAGGAGGATAGCCATGAGCTCCAGGCTAGACTCATCTATACAGTGAGTTTCAGACCAGCCTGGATTACATAGGAAGATTGTTTCAGAAAAAAAAAATATTGTATATAAAATGTATGTTAAAATCAAATCTACTGCCAAAGAATTCATTTTCCTTTAAGTGTAGGTACTTGATTGAAATTTATTGTCCACGCTCCTCCCCCACCTTTTTAAAGATAGACTCTCACATAGCCCAGGCTGGTTTTGACCTCTACAATGAAGAGGATGGCTTTGAACTCCTGATGCTCCTGCCTCCATCTCTCAGGTACCAAAATTACAGGTATGCCACCACACTCACATCATAGTTTGTTCTTGATTAAATGGAACCTAGGATTCACCATCTAAACTTCTAATTTTGATTTGAAAGGAAGAGCTCAAGCCACTCGAATAGCTGATTGAATATAGAATCATGGGTTTGCACATTTTCAGTTACACTGCCCTTAACCTTGCTCAGTAGCAGTGTGCTTTTCATATAGAGGCATACTTTTTATCTGGCTCTTAGTGAGGCATTTACAGTATATGCAGTTGCAGAAATTATAGTTGTCTTCTTTTATTTTACTGGTTTGTTTAATTAAGCTCCATATTCATGAGAGGAGAAAATGATTTGTGAACAGACACTAATCTCAGGAGCAGAGTGCCTTATGGTCAGCATGCTGCAGAATTGGAGTGCCGCTGCAGGCTGCAGAATCTGTGTGAACCTGCAAGGCTGCAGAATCCGTGTGCTGCTGCAGGCTGCAGATTCGGTGTGCTGCTCACTGCAAGGCTGCAGGCAGTGTCAGAATCCATATGGTGGTCAGTGGAGGCTGGTTAAGGCAATTCCTACTGAAATTGTTTTTGTTGTTTATCTCCCTTTCTTAGATCATGAGCTCTTACAAGGCAAACTGTCTGCTTTTTCCATTTCTAACTTTTCTCTATGCATAGTGCCTATTTAATATGCATTCACCTTTTATTATTGGGTGAATAGACACATTCTTATATAGGTAATGCTAAATTTGAATAGTCTGCATAGTGGGATGGGAATTGGCATGCATTTACAGGTCATGACCCTGAATCCCTTTTTGTTTATATTTGTGAGCAGATACCTTTTGATTTTTCATCTAGGGAATGGAGATGACTCACCTTTGGGTTGTGAGAGGATTTAATGGATATGTGACATGTCTAGCACAGAAATTGATAAACTAAGCAATAGTTAGTCTTGATGCTCCTAGCTAATAACAATGAGTTTTTGTTGCATCTAACTTCTCTCATTGAGAAGCCTTAACCACATACACTGGAATTTTTCATATGTGCTAAAATTCTTTCTGTAAACAATATTTTATGTTTTCAACAGCTTTCTACAGCAAATATGTATTTCTTGGTATGTCACATTTGTGAGTTTGATCTAGTAGTAATTAATTAACTTTATACCTTGGAAAGCAATTTCAAGCTTTGCAACAGCACTTGCTGGAGGGTTGACCCTTCTAATAAAGTGTGAAGGGCAACTGGCCTCCATGTATCACTGCAACACTTCAGCTGAGATAGGGAGCAGACACATTCTGTTCTGAGGAACATATCTGAGAGGATTATCAGGTAAAATTAACAGTGAGGATTTTTATTACATTCACATCACCCTTGTCATTATAAAAACAAACAGACATCCCAAAATGTTTGGTCAAATGATCCATTAATTTGTAGGTTATATGTTTACCATGTACGAGGCCCTGGGTTAAATGCCCAGCAATTCCAAAGGAAAACCAAACAAGAATCCAACAAAGAAGGCTCCATAGATAGAGACTCTGTTATAAGTATAGGCTTTTGGGTTTTCTTATCTAAATCATGAAGGAAGACAGAGCAAGAATATGGGAAGAGAAAACTCTCATGACTGACCTGGAGGACGGTTTCCATTGTCCTGTCCTCACTAAAGTATTTTCTTTTTTATTGCAGTTCTCATTTAACATGGAAGATGAGTTCTTTGGAGAAAAAAGCTTCCAATATTATTGTGCAGAATTCATCAAACATTCACAACAGATAGGCGATGGTTGGGAATGGAAAACAGCCAAGGTGAGAACAGGGACAAACATTTCTTTGTTTTTGTGTTTTGATATGGAGTCTTAGTATGTATCCTAGCTAGCCTGGTATTTTCTATGTGTCCCATGCTGCCTTCAAACTCCCTTCCACTCTGCCTTCCAACTGATGGGTCACAGGCATTTGTCACCATACTTGGCTACAGTGGGGTTTCTTATTTTCATTTTCAGCAGAGGACTGCTTATTTTTGTTATCTAAAACCTAAGTAGTCGATAGTAAGATATAAACGTGGGGTTGATTTAACCAAAGGCATAAAATTAAAAGCATTATTGAAAAGCAGATATTCATTTTATTATTCTAACTATATGTACTCATAATTATTTGGCTAATGAAATGTCATCTAGAAAAGTCCTTAGGTGACCTTCATTAATTTATAGATAAGGACCCTTACAATATCAATTACTGGTATGTAAACATATGTTTCTCTGGTGTTTCAAACCACATGTTTACATTATAAATGTTGGTTCTTTCTCCCTCCTGATTTTGAGAAACTTCCTATGTTGTCAGAGATGACAGACACATCCTCTCTTCTGCCTCCCAAGTACTGGGACCACAGACTTGTGCCACCACACTGGTTTTGTCTAGAGAGTAATAGTAATCCTGAAATCAAGATTTTTTTTTTCAAAATTTATCCTCAAGATTTATTTATTTATTTATTATTTATTTATTTATTTATTTATTTATTTATTTATTATATATGCAGTGTGCTGCCTGAATCTATTCCTGAGGCTAGAAGACGGCACCAGATATCATTACAGATGGTTGTAAGCCACAATGTGGTTGCTGGGAATTGAACTCAGGACCTCTCGGAGAGCAAGCAGTCTTAACCTCTGAGCCGTCTTTCCAGCCCCCAAGTCTGAAATATTAAGGACTGTGTGTTTGGGAATTGCTTAATGACACAAAAGCATTACAGAATATTTGTCCTTTTGATTCTATTCTAAAATAATGTAAACTTTTATTTACTCTTTTATTTCCATACATACAATTGGTGTGGCTTTCTGTTAAAAGCTTTATGAGCATCACCTGCAGCCTTTTTTAGAGGCCTTTCTCCCTGCTGGACATTCCGGTAGATTCATGAGCAGCTCAGGCTTTCGCTTCTCTGTATCGTGGTTCCAGTGTGCATGTAAGAAACCTAAACGCCTTATGCCAGATAGCCATGATTTAGAACTGAGTAGGGAGATGCAGGTCCTTACTGGGGCTCAGAATGTTGGCTGGAAGAAACCATGGGTTCTCTGAGGTCATTTGCCCGAACCAGGCTCTGACTGGTTTTCAGATCTCTTCCTGGTGATTCAACAGTCTGTTAGTCTGAGCCAGGGCCTCGCTTGGTGGTGCAGCCTGGCTTCCGGTCACACAGGGTCTGGATTGGTGGTGCAGCCTGGCTCTCGCTGGCACAGGATCTGGCTTGGTGGTGCTGCCTGGCTTCCAGTCACACAGCCATGAATTCACAGCAGTCCTGCCTGGTTCCCCTGAATGGGATTACAGACATGAATCACAGTGATGATGCAGAACCTTTAAACTCTGAGGGGCACTTGCTGGCTCTCTGTACAGAACAGTTGACTTTATTTGTACCTTTTATTAATTAATTTCATTCTTCGGTATTTAATAGTTTGTTTACTAGAGTTTTATTTTACTATAGTTTTGAATTTTTATCCATGCTATCTTTTCTATGAGTTATATTGAAGACTCACTAGTTTTTATATGTTAGTCCTATAACCACTAACTTTACTGCATCCTTTGTGATATTCTTCTATTGTTTCATGGTTGAGTAGGAACATGTTAAGTAATTAGCAGCTCTTTATCTTTAGCTCCGGTTTTTGTGTTAATGGTTCTGAGACTGAATGAGTCTAAGCCCCTCCCATCCACCCCCCTCTTCTCCCTCTCTTAGTATTAGAAGGGAAGCTCAAGTTTTTGAGCTTTTTATTTAGCAGCAACACTACATTTTAAAATTATAACACAGTGAAAAGCAAGTGCCCCTGCACTGGTCCAGGGTCTGTAGCTTTTCACCAGATCCATTTAATTGTCTATGAGCTCTCTCTAACTCATTTGACACATTTCCAGCATAGTTAACCCTTAACAAAATATCATTGGTTGGGTCCCATTTCCTACATTATTATTTTATTTTATTTTTTGTATTCAGTTGGAACGCTATTTTATCACAGGATAACGAGGAACTACTTAAGAGAGTATTCACGCTGTAGCTTCCTCCACTAAATCTCTAATTTCACTGTTCACTCTAACATTCACTACCCTCTGTTCTTCCTTTAAATTCCCAGAAAACACAGAAAAGACTATTTTCAAAAATGAAAAAAAAAAAAAAAAAAAGGCTTTTTGTTTTTAGAGACAGGGATTCTTTGTGTAACAGCTTGGCTGTCCTAGAACTAGCTCTGTAGACCAGGCTGGCCTTGAACTCACAGAGATTCACCTATCTTTGCCTCCCAAGTGCTGGGATTAATGGCATGTACAATCACAGCCCTAATAATTTTTGTCAGTACTAGAAAATAAAGTGTCATGAAAGGGTTCTAGTTCTCAATGAATTTCCACATACAGTGAGAGACCCTGTCTCAAAAACAAAAACAAACAAACAAAAAAAAAAAAAAACAAAAAACAAACACACAAACACAGGTGGAGAGCAATAGAGGAAGATACTGCATATGGACAGAGAGGACAGATATTAGTGTGTGTATGCTTGTACACACACAAGAGGGGGGAATTGGGGACAGAAGGAATACTCCAAGTTTAGACATTGTACACTTAAAATCAATTATGAATTAATTTATCTCTGGCTTTGTAAACTGTTTTGAACTAACAATATTAAGACAATAAACTTTAATTAAAGTCACTCTCCACTTATTTTTTGCCCATCAGTTTACTTCTATCTTCACAGGAATGTTTACTGTTCACCCTGGGCCTTTCGGACCTAGGTCCTGTTGTGTATTAAGAAAAGCAAGAGAAGCCACTAAGTGAGCCATTACTCTTCTTCTTAATACCATGTGGTTAATCATGTTTATTATGGTGACTCCTAAAACATGTCTACAAGTATCTTCACTCAGAGATACTGGGTTCTTACTAGAGTTCATAAAACCCTGAATTATATGAGAAACTCTCTAGCATCCTCTGGACAGAGGTGCCAAGAATCTCAGCCCTATTTTGTGCATTTGTGAACGCTTAAGAATGTATTTGAAAGTTAAATATCATAGTAGGCTGGAGATGTAGCTCAGGGAAACCATTCCTGCCTACCATGAACAAGGCCTCCACAGTGTAAAAACAAAACCTAAACATCTCATTTGAACTCTCCTGTAAGGAGTAAGGTTTTTCCGCCCACCGCTGGTCTTGTCCCGCCACCGCGCCAGCCCCAATTAACACACCGAGACTCTGTATTTGATATAATTCTGTTGGCCAGTTACTTGTTTCTTATCAGCTAGCCCTGTCTTAATTATTAACCCATTTCTGTTAATCTATGTATTTCCTTGTGGTCTTACCGGAGAGCCGGCTGGCATCCTGCTCTCTCCAGACTTTCCATCTTGACTCCTCCTTCCTACTTCCTCTTTCTTCCTTGTTTCCTAGTCCCACCTATCTTGCTTTCCTATTGGCCAACAGTACTTTATTCGTTAAACCAGTATGAGAAACATATTTACAGAATGACATCTCCCATCACTCTCCTTCTAGAGTTCTCCATTTGTTAACTGTGCCTGTCATATATGTACATTTGTTCATTTATGTATGTGTGTTTTATGTGCCAGGAGTTGATGTCAGTGTGTTCTTTAATCATTCTTTATCATATTTTTGAGATCCAGTCTCTTAGCCATGGAGCTTACCAAATTTGTTGATTTTATTAGTGGTGGGGAGATTCTGGGCTGGGTGTTTCCCAATTCTTGACCCATCATTCAAAGAGTTGTAATAAAGGCTCACACAGATTCTAGAATAGCAAGAAACCTTAATTTAAAGCAACATGGTAGTATAGATAAGAAAGAAATGTGAGTGAGGGTCCTCAGAGCTCCAGTTACTCTTGGTGTTCCTTTAGTGGAGTCCAGCAGAAGTGTGGTTGCTAAAGGATAGTTTGGGTGGTTCTCTCTTTCGATTGTAATGCACCTGATTTTGATCAGTGCATGCCCAGTAATGCAGGAGCATAAGATGGTACTAAAGGATTCTCTCTAAAAGTTCACTGGGGGGCACTGTTTTCGTCATGGATCATGCACTCAGTCCTACTCTAGGCCAGTTCAATCCCCTACCTCTGTACCCGGCATATCTGAGGTATAGCTGACTAGAAACTGTTTATGTTTGATGGGTCCTATTGGGGAACAGAAATTTCTTGCATTGTTTGCAGTGGGGTACGTGTGCAGCTCAGTGCAGATGGGGGTCCTAGGTTGCTAGCAGATTGATGGGTGCATTGTTTGGAGGAGTGTGTGTGTGTGTGTGTGTGTGTGTGTGTGTGTGGTTTACACACAGTAGAGTCCTAGTTGGTAAGTGCATTGTTAGAAGAGGTATGTGCACACAGCCTAAGCCCAGTACCTCATAGTTGCTAGGTTGTTTATTGGCTATGTTTGCCTGCTTCAGTTTGTCTGGAGCCCCAGGGAGCCTCTAGGATTCTAGGCATCAGCTGCTGCTCCCAACATTGTGTGTGATTCTGAGGAGCAGAACTGAGGTCCTGTGTTTGTGTGAGAAGCATTTAATGCTGATTCATCTGTCTGGTTCCAGTTTTGTTCTTTAGTTTAATATCTTAGTTCTGTAAATTTGCTTTTCACAGAGTGTTGATAAAATAATTTCTCATACATTTGAAAGTTTCTTTTTCTCACTGTAGTGTGGAAACAGGACATTTCATACACTGAAAACAAAATCTACTTTCTTGAGGTTAGATTTTTATGACAGTTACTATTACCTAACTTTTCTATTACTCTTTATTTCATTTTTGAGGCAGAATTTTATGTAACACAAGGATGACCTTAAACTTATTGTGTAGCTGAGAATGAATTGACAAA